CTGCTGAAAGAAGCTTGACAAATATGTTTCAGGAAATCAGTTCTCAAGAATAACACGTGTTGGTGAAGAGAATACACTCAATCTAAGAATGTGGGGGGCTGAATTTATATAGTGTGCTTTGGCACAAAATTCAAGGAATTCACCCTTAAAAAATAGTCTACTTTGATTCTTTTGTATCAGTGAACATCTTGATTTTGGTTTTAATTGCCAAATTGTTTTACATTTTTAAAATACATAATCATAAACAGAATGACTCTTAAGAGACCTTGACAAACAGTTAACATTTGTAACAAGGGAGAAGAAAATCTTACTCATAATATTATCTCTGAGTCATTACTGTTTTAGGCCAGTTAGATGTAAAAGCATGGCTTTAAACTACCAAAATTGATTTTTTGACTTGAAGAAACTAGAGAAATCATATTAGAAGTCATATTTTCAATTTTATAAGGATTCTTCTTTTTCTTGCTATGTTGTGAATCTTCAAATGAGGCATGATTGCAAGTAATAGCCATAAATTTAACTTGAGAGACACAAAAGGAAAAAGTCTTGTGAATTTAGAGTTTGTCAAGACATCAGTCTTAATCTTATGACTTTTATAGAAATTAAAAGTGTTTTGGTATTTTTATCCTATGTGATGTTTCTCTTATAAATGAATAAGGATTGTGTCTAAAGATGATGTTAAGTGTAGCCAAATCGGTAAAACATATTTCCAAATTGACAAAACGTATTTCCTGATAATAAACTTTGGTCTTGACTTGATTTTCATTGCATTACACCTAAGTTGATGATATTACTTATATTAATTTTCATACATCTTTTTTAAAAATATGCTTTATTTGCATGCTCTTTTCAAAAGCATCTTGATAAAAATGTTAGTATAGAAACAGAATGAGGGACATGAGCTGAAGAAAGCTGCTTAATATGGTCAGAACAGTTATTGGAACGTTCCAGCACCGCACAGTGGCAGAACCTGCCATGCTTATGAAAAATTCAGTTTCAGCTCTAACAAAATATTTATGCGAATTTTAAGAAGCGAAGTCAGTAGCAACTGACCATGGAAACATGAAACAGAAAATTATTCCCTCTTAAAAATTTATAGGCTGCTCTGTAAAAATATGACTGGGACCTGACTTAAGATTAACCTGGCACCGACAAAAACCAAACTTTCCAACAACTTCTATGGTGGAGATCACATACAGGACTTTCAGGTTCAAAGAAAACCAGAGAGTGGCTTGTTCTAGCCAGAAATCCACTAAGTGGGTACAATCCCTCCTAATGGCCTATACACGTATGACACACTTACATTAATTACCAGCCACAGCACCCAGAGAAAAGGAAACTATTATATATTTAACTAAGATTAGATTAGGTAGTACATGGAGAGAAAATAATAATCAGCAGAACATAACTCCTTCTACCCTTTAATTCAACAGAACATTCACAAATGTTCTGTTTGGAAAATGTGGAAGAATCACATTTCTTAGAAGAGCAAGATTCTGTTTGTTTAATGGTGATGGAGGAATGGTCTTTGAGGAAACTCCCTGTCTGAGGGCTGGTGCACAGGAGATACTAAATTTTCAGAGCAGAAATAGCGTACAGTGTAAAACCTCTTCTTTAATTATCTGACGGAACCTCTTTGTGGGTAGTCTATTAGAGCCATCTCCCTCTTAAATTCATAAGAAGTCCCAAATAATCTTCCCATTTTAATTCCTTTCACAAACATATATAGCCCATCTATGACAAATTTATTCTTGTAAAGCAATAAACCTAGGTCTCTGCCTTCCAAGAATAAGGTTATTTTAGAGACAAATTGTACACTGGCCAGAAGGTATGTAAAAAATCTGCAGTGGTAAATAGTTAAAAACCTCAGACTTTTGGCTGTTAGGCTTGGAGGCAGAACCATCAGAAAACCATTCAAATGGTAACATTTGGGAAAACCGCAGTCCATCTAAAAAGTTGACTGATGAGGGCAACCCCAATGCCCTGGCCCATCCCAGTACAAGGATTTCTGGTTTAGAATGCTTTAATCAGAAGTCCCAGTTGAAATGTTTCTCAACAAAAGAGGTAGACATACCTCTACTGAGCTATTTTTATATGCTCACCTTTTCAGTACGCAATTCATATTTTACAAATAGTCCTTAAAATATTGTGAGATATATAAGAGCATAAAAATAGCTAGAAGGTGAGTGGAGTTGAAGCTAAAACATTAAAGGGAAAGGCCTAACTACAAAGTCTGATTAAAGTGGTAATTTCTTGGAGAATCGATAGTGAAAGGAGCCAGGTCCTTGATGTCCTTGCCTTACCATGACAACACCTCCAGATTGTTCTGCTGTGCACATGCTCATTATCGGTGCCATGCCAATGGTGGTCCCTTGGAAATAAACCCCACTAGGAAATAAAAGAAAGAATTTTATTTAAGCTAATGAGAATGGAGGCATTTTTAATCTTTGAAATTCTGTTTGATTTTTCTGCAACAGAAAATGCAAAAATAAAAATAGGTCATATTTTTAAAAAAATTGCTTGAGGGTGTGTGCATTCATAAGAGAGGGAGCAAGGGAAAGGGAGAGGGAGAGAAAGCACTCCTAGTGGGATGTAGTCATGTTTCAGTCCTTTTCCTCCATTTCTCCATCCTGTCAAGATTTTGGGCATGCATGAACGTGCACCTGGCATGATATTCAAGCACAGGGCCTGGGACTTGAAATATGGTTGGCCATGTGAGATTTGAGTCCTTTAAACACTGGCTAAAGGATCTGACTCCTTTTGCCAACTATAGGGTTGACTTGAGGTTATGTTTATATGTGACTTTTATGTGTTCTTTTAAATGATAATTTTTAATTGACATTCAAGAGTTGTATATACTTTTAGTATACAGTATGAGTTTTCAAATCATCAATACAATGTGTAATGTTCATAGCAGAGCAATAAACATATACAACATTTCAAAACATCTATCATTACTTATGTTGTGAACACTTGAGATCTTCTCTTCTAGCTGTTTTAAAATATACATTAAATTGTCACCAATTATACTTACTCTACTGTACCATAGTACTTAAGAGCTCATTCCTCTTATCTGTTTGTGGTTTTGCATCAGTTGACAAAGTTGTCCCCATCCTCCCCACATTATTCCCCTTCTTAGCTTCTGGTATCCACCATTGTACTTTCCATCCCTATGTGATCAATTTCTTACATTAAGGAGTGAGAACATGTGGTATTTGTCTTTATTATCTGGCTTATTTCATTTAGTATCATTTCCTCTAGGCTGAGAAGGATAGTATTTCATCTTTTTTATGACTGAATAATATTCTATTATTATTCAGTATTATAATATTAAATTATTATTCAATTTGATAAACACCTAGGTTGATAAACACCTAGGTTGAGTCCATATCTTGGCTATGCTGCAATAAACATGGGCAGGTAGGCATCTGTTTAACATGCTGATTTCATTTCTTTTGGATATATACCCAGTAGAGGGATTACTAGATAGTAAAGAAACTAGGAAAATTGCATATCCATATGCAGAAGAAAGACACTAGACCCTTATCTCTGAATATTACAAAAGTTGACTCAAAATGGATAAATACATAAGTGAAAGATCTTAAACTATGAAATTTCTAGAGGAATAAGAGGGGAAACACTTTAGGACATTGGTGTGGGCAAAATTCTTAAAAAAAATGCAACTTCAAAAGCATGGATTACAAAAGCAAATATAGACAAATGCTATTACATCAAAGTAAAAAGTTTCTACATGCTCCCCCCCCCCAAAAAAAATCAATAGAGCAGACACAATCTACAGAATAGAAGAAAATACTCATCTCCAAGGGATTAATAACCAGTATATGCAAGGAACTCAAACTTAGCAGCAAAAACCAAACAATCTAATTAAAAAATGGATCTGAACAGACAATTCTTAAAAGGAGACAAACAATTAGCTAACAAGAATGTGAAAAAATGCTTAACATCACTAATCATCAGGTAAATGTAAATCAAAACCACAATGAATTAGCAGTTCACCCCAGTTTTAATGGCTATTATCAAAACATAAAACAACTCAAAGAACAACAAATGCTGGGGATGATGTGGAGAAAGAGAAACTGCATTCTTGGTAGAAATGTAAATTAGTATAGCCATTATGGAAAACAATATGATAATTTTTATATTTTTTCTTTAAATTCTATTTTTTTCAGTTGTATCATGGTCCCATAATACTTTGAGTTCTGCCTCAAAACTCAAGACAGCAAACAGATATTATTTTGTATTTATAAGTTATATTCTTTCTATTTCCAGATGGACTGCAGGGAGCCGTTCCTGCTAATGGAAAGGCTGAAAATAGTCACAAAGAATCACTGTTAACTGAAAGAAATGTATTAGATGGTTTACTAGATTCTCTGTTGTTGCTAAATTTTGCTTTCCTGGGAAACTCATTACAATTCTGCCAAAAAACCAAACTTCTTCAAAAGATTCTGCTAATACAGCTTGCAAAGTTAAAATTAGGGCACAGTTATGGTAATGTAGGTGGTATAACATTGCTATCTGATACTGGAGTCATATGGGAAGGTCTGGGGTTTGGATTCTGGATCAACCTGAACATGCCAGGCATGCAATCCTGCTGGTTACAAACCTGGGGACAAGACTGTAGCATGCTAAGACTCCGTTGGAAGCCTGCTCTCTTCTCATCTTCCTCTCATGAGATAAATAAATAAAAAAAGATAGAAACAGGCAGGAAAATGACCAATTCCTTAGAGCCCACCAAGACTTGGCACCCGGGAGGAAGCTTCTAGAAAAGAATGTTGAGGCTTTGGTACAGGTTTCCTCCTATCTGGAATCTTAACCTGATTATGATCTAATGACAGAAAGATTAATTCTAATCCTGTGTATTATTAATTAAATATTGTGGGACCAGCAGATGGTGTAATGGTTACATCACTGGACTCCCACATAGCCGACTGTGGTTTGAGTCCTGGACCCAGCAGCTTCAAACTCGCTCTGGGTGCTTGTGCATACACGTCCAAAATCCAGAAAGGAAAAGGGACTGTGGTGTAGCCATCCCCCAGGGGGTGATTTCTCGCTGTTTCTCTGTCTCTTTCTGGTTCCCTGGCAAGCGTGTGCATACCACCGCAAAATCTCCCTTTATAAAAATCAAAATGACAACAACAGCAAAAAACATTGTGTTTGTTGAATCTCCTTTAGAGGAATCAAATGGCTTACCTATACCATCTTGGTCATGGATAGATAATGCATGTATTACCTAAATGTTATATATTTAAGCTGTAGTAAGTTGGACAAAAGGTGATAAGTGTTTATGAAACCTCACCTATTTAATTACTTCTTTACCTATACCACGATGCTCATGTTTACAGTAGTGAGAATTTCAGCTTTTTGTTTATATCTATATAGACCATATGAAAAGATACAATTATACACATATGTAAATAATAAAGCTATCTTAGATGCTAATTTATTTCCAGATGTTTAAGTTGGATAGACTCCACTTGGAAAACCCCCCAAAATGTTCTGATTCAAAATACATGAAATGTACTTTCAATAGTTCAGGATTAATCAATGCATAAATATGAGGCAACCACAAATATTCAGAGTGGTGGTGGTGGTGGTGGGGAAGCCTATGAAAATGGCCAAAGTAAATTATCAGGGAATACCAACAGACTCAGTTCGGATGTAAGTAAGCATTTTCTAAAGAAGGGATAGGATAAGACTGGTTTTTACCTTTTCAAAAATGTCCAATATGCTAGATTTGATTTACCAAAGCAAAATAGCTCTGTCTTTAAAGCTTTCAGTTCAATGATATAAGCTACATGAGAACAAAAGAATAATGGCATACACTGTTTAAAGGTTTAAATAAAGGTATTTTTATGTTTACAAAAATTCTTTTATACATTCAAGTACTGTGTATCTTTACATGGTGATTTTTTTCCATCATGAATACATTGTATATTAGTCCCTTGGAAGGTGCTATCATACACATTATCATCAACAGATAATTTTCCATTTTTGTGTCTCTTAAGACTTGTCGCTTCTGGAAATATCTACTTTCTATCAATTTAAACTTTTATAGGAATGCTCTTTTTTTTTTAAGTGTAAGGTATCTATAAATATCGCATCAGTTTAATATGTTATGTTATACGATAGCTATGCTTTCCTTCATCGTACATCTTCATGACTCTTAGCATTCTCTGACATTTTCTCGTTTATTATTGTCTTTCTCAGTAGACTGGAAACTTCTGAAAGCAAGGAGACTTACAACGTTAGACACCATTATGTTCAAAGCGTCTAAAACATTGTTTGGTTCCTAATAGGTTCTCAATACATATTGATTTAAAGAAGAAATACAAGGTTGATAGGAATTTTCTGATCTAGGAAACCAAAGAGTAATAGCCAAAACAGGAGAAAGAATGAAGATTAATCTTTTCTCCAGGCACTTGACAATATTCACCCAAATGTTTAGATCTTGTATAAATGAATGTTTTTCATTTTTAACTGAAAGAAATAAGCCTTTTAAAGAAATATCCTACTAAGGAATTTATTTCAAGAGAAAGACGAGAAAAATTGGCATATAGAAAATGTTCAGACTATGAATGAAGAATATAAGAATTTCATAGAGCAGTAGATTTCCTAGGAGGTCCAAAAGGAGAATCTTAACAGACCTGCAATTCCAAGTTAGGATGGTGTCTGCTCCACTGATAGGAGCTGAGAAGTCCCCTTGTGCAAGCCAGTGTGCTCTGCAGCAAGAGGTGACACTCCAGGGGCTGTGCAGATGAAGCTGAGGAGAGAGACTGTAGGAAAGGCATTACTTCTTTAAGCAAAGGGGAGACAGAACATCCTACCTGACAAGCTGTGCATTATCATGGGATTTGCGAGGTAGAAGCTTCATCTTTCTCCAGTCTAGAAACTCATGGAGGCTGGTGAACGGGTCCTGACTTATAGAGCACTTGTCAATGTCATTCCATACTTCCACACCTACCAACACTATCCGAATGTTCAGTGACCTGTAAAACTGAGGAAAACAGCCTTTGGGGATCACATTAGTGAAACTTAAAAGGAAAACTAGAGCAGATTTATGCTATTCAGACATCACTGACATGGGTGAGAAAAACACCTCTGTTCTCCTCTGTTTCTGTGGCATTAGAATTTAAGAAATATCTGCTGTGCGTAATATAAAGTGATGTGTTAACTGAGTTCTCAGATGTTGACCAATTAGTTGCTAAAGTTATCAGCCTTTTCACTGTCTGCCTGTATTTGCATGGAAGCACACATTTCAAATGATTCATTGGCGATTTAAAATGTGCATATAGATGTATATTTTAGCTAAACACTGCCAACTAATATCCACTGCAAGAAAAACAATGAGTGAGCTAGGATCTTTCAGACATTTCTGCCAAGGACAATAATTTGTTCATTTTAAGCAAAATGTTCTGCCTATGAGTTATTGAAAATGAATCTGTATTAATTTTTTAGCAAAGACTCAGCCTTGGCTGACACTATCATATTCTGTCACCTATAATCAACCTATAAGATTTTAATTAGATGAACAAGTCAATATCTTTCAGAATAATAAAGGCATAAACCAAGCCCTTCTTCAAGAACTTTAATGACCATTCTCCTCATAGCCAGAAGTTAGCTCACCAATGCTGTCATGGGAAATATGGGTTAAATAAAGTTCTTCTTTTATGGGCATGTGAAATAAAGTTTAGGGATACCACTGTTTAGGGATAGCAGGTCTTCTCATTTTCCTTCTGTTTTCCTTCTTTAAGTGTTCCTGACTTTAGCCTATAGCCCATACTGCATAGGAGACTGTCCTGCATTAGATAGGGGAAAACTACTCTTCCAATGGCATGGTTTGTCTCATCTGAGTCTAGAGAGGCAAGGTGAGTGGTCAGATGGAGATCTGACTACCTACTCCCCCTGATGCCCTGATGTATATGACACAGACATGGTGATAGCTCTTTACTTACGGTTGAGAGGGCAAGGACACAGGGTCACCTGGTTGGTGATAAACTCTTTAATGCCTGTGACATGTGAGTCAGGCTAGGTTTGACACCACAATGAGAAAGGCCTCATCTTCTGAGATCCCAGATCACCAAGGAGAAAAACATGGCTAGCAACAACAGCCAAAACCAACTCCAGGCATGAGCAGATCCTATTCTCATTGCTAGAAGCATCTGGCTATAAAAATCATAGAAGCTCTGTATTTTACAGTTAAGCACCATTCCAATGTGGTGAGCTAACGTACAAGAAACCCCCCAAAGTTGAGCATCTGACACTGGATTTTCACCCACATAAGGTGGGCTCATCTTATTGCAGGTTCCTCCAGTCATATGGTAAATATGAAATTAGCAAAAGAATACAACTGGCACACAAACTACATCACAGAATGTAAACTGATTGCAATGGTTCAACTTGGTTTCAAACAGATAACAATTACAGACATTACATTAATAAGCAAGAGAGACAATTATATGACCAAAGTGGGGTCCAACAGTTTGTTTTTAATCAAGAATTGCTTGGCCTGTGGTATTTACTTGCAAGCTCTTAGCCCAGGCGAAATTAAGTTCCTGGACTGCTCTGGGACTCTGAATGCACATGTTTGGCTGCTGTCCTTTGAAGGGCTACATTTTCAGCTGTATTACATACAAAGGTAACAGTGACCAGAAAGCAGACATGTAGGAGATCCAACTCAGATATTTGTCAACTTGCTAAGAGACATCCCAAGGGTCAGATACCCTGTGTGGGCTCCAGGGTTGTCCTCTGTGAAGGGGACAGTATGTTTGCCTCCCAGAAGTGTTGTGTGGAAGCAATAACTAAGGTTTCCAAAGGACTACTTGTCATCATTTCTCACTGCTAGGTTTGCTGCTTACTAATCAAGAAACTTTTTATAATGATGAGTCTTATGTTTCTACTACTGGCCCTCTCAAACCACAATCTTATGAAAAATTTTATACTTAGAATATAACATATAACCTCTCCTCCAAAATTAGTGTCATCCATTAACTGTCATGAGTGCTAAGCTTGCATCACCTCATCAAACACAACCTCTTTACCACCGTTTTTGAATTCTCCTCCCAGGGCTGCTGATGGGTTCCTGTTGGTTTTTCCTAATAACGGTAATCACAATTAATAATTGATGGGCATTACTATGTCCTAGGTATGATGCTAAAGTGCCTTCTGTGCCATAGCTTAGTTCTCAAAATGATTCTGTGAGTTAAGATCCATTATTATTTTCATTTTATACTCAAGGGCATTGAGGCTTGGAGAGGCCGGGTAACTTAAGATTACTGCTGCATAGCTGGGGTTCAAACACAGGCAGGCTGAGAACACACATTATAAACCTCTGATGCCTTGTGATAAACCACCAAGTAACACTGCCACCTTTGTGCAGTTGCTGAGCCTACGTTCCCACATGGCCCACTCTGACCTCAGGTTCAGAGAAAAGCTCATGGACCTGTGCATTATAAATGGAGCTTGGCAGCTGTCTGCTGAGCTTATGAATTCCAGAATGTATGTAGACACAGTCAGATACCCAGCTGAATCAATTCTCCTATTTACATACAAGCAACAAATATTTACTCAGCTCTTGCTGTGGGCTAGGTTTGACACCAGCAGAGAAAACAAAGATTAGGATGCTTGTGCCCTTGCCTCTCGTGGCGTAGAGGTGACCAGAAGGCTTAAGGATGGGGTGCTTAGCCATTATTTCAGTTAATTCCAATGCAGTGAACTGCCAAGTAATAGTGCAAATGGGAAGTCCAATGGATGCTGGACTAGGAGAGCCGAGGAAAGTTTTTCGAAAGCAGCAGACCTGAAATAAGGGCATGGAAAGCCCTGGGTCCAACTAGGGAACTTGCATCCTTGAGACACCTGACTTGAGGGAGAAGAAGGTCACATGAGTGAAAATACCTGAAGAAATTAAAAATGCAGAAGATAAGTCATTTTAGAAGTAGGTCATGGAAGTTCAGCCTTAAAGAATTTGCAATTGCTACTACTTCTTAATGAATAAGGAGGACAGATTGGAGGGCTAAAGAGGCACAACTTCAGCAATCACTTCATTCTCAGGCACACCCTGCTGCTTCTGCTTCAATTTATTCAGGACCCGGGGAAAGTGTCCCTTAGTTTGACTTAGAAGGGTGAGTGTCAGATGTAGGTTCTATGTTTCGAGGGGATTTCCAGAATGTTTCTGAATGTAACCTTTGTCACCAAATCACTTCTCTGTCTTCTAGTCTAAGATGTTCTACACCCTCTTCAAGTCAAAGCAGCCAAGCAGCTATTTAGAATGGCCTAGGAGAGCCAAAATTTCAGCAAATGAGGAAGTTGCCACCAGGACAGTCTTTTTTTTTTTTTTTTTTT